TTGCAGATCCGTATAGTATAATTTTAAAAATTGGCCTATACTATACTGATTTGCTCACCTATACCATACTGATCTGCACTGAATGATCATTCTGAAGAACTGCGGTTATCCCGGCAGCTCTTTTAAGTATTGCTGGTTATTCCACCAGTTCCTTTTTTAGAGTTGTTGGCTCAGGTTCATGAATATTTACCATTTAACTTCATTTATTCACGTTTATTTAGTTTGTAAGTATAAAGAACATTGATTAATCTAATATGCCATTTAAGCTCATGAATATTTATTGTTAATTTAACGGATGAATATAAAGAACATTTGGTGCTTATTAATATTTACCATTTATTATGTGAACGGAGGTTTTTCGCAACCTCGTTAGATGAAGATTTGACTAAATTTTGATTCAGCATAATCGTATGAATTTCTTAATACGAATGATCGGGTCATCAAGATTACTTGAGTCACTTTAAGTAACCGGTTTGCAACCCGATTAACAATTTATGAACGTGTGAGTAAAAACCGTGCTTAAATTTTATGTGGGTACAACCTCTAACTTAAATAATACGAAATTTGAAAAAATTGGTTTAAAATCCAGGAAATATTATCGTAATAATCTCGTTAATAATGTAAAGGCCAAGCGATATAGATATTAAATAAAACCAAAATTAATGTTCTGAAACAGTTTCATACAACACACGAATTCTCAGTGAACAATCTGTACACCCAATAATATCAGCACCTTGATCCATATTTTCCTCAGTAATTATATATAAACCACCGCAACGACATCGTATTGAATAGGAATTTGTCTCTATAATTATTTTCAAAGAGTTGTTATTTTTAAAAAATAATGAATGTGGTGAATATTTGCACAAATAGTCACGGACTGCACCTTGATCATATTCCATATCATCTAGATCAATTTCCGAATTAAATAATCCATCGTATCTAAGTTTTGTGGCTTTTAAAGAGTTGTTTTTCATTTAGTCTAACAATGATTTTATTTTTGAATAAAAGAAAAAAAGATTATACCTTTTAGTTCTTTATCATAAACTTTTCGTAATTCTGGATCTTTTAAAGTATTCCATGCTTCAATAATCTGATTTACTTTTTCGCTTTTATTCGTGTCTTCGGAATTTATTAAAGAACGTTGAGATTTATCTGGATGATGCTTTTTTTTTTAAGTTTAATCTAGGTCTCATTATTTTTTAACTAAATTCCGTCCGTTATTTTACTAGAAAAAAGAACCCCCTTACAATAAGTAACAATTTTTGATATTGTTGTTTTATTTCTTCATGTGTTGCTGTTTCGGGTATTTCAAGAAGTTCATAATACGTTAAGTTCATGATATGCAAATTACTTTATGTGAAAACTAACGTATAAATTATTCAGGAAACGGCATGACAGACCGTAAAATTTGTATACGTACGTACGTAAATTAATACAAACTAATACAAATTTAGTTTGATTTCTAAGCAAAATTCACGTGATTCTCAATAAAAGTTACTCCCGTTGTAGATAGTATAGTGAAGAATAGTATATAAAAACCCTCTCAATACGTATAGTGAACCCCCCTAGCATGACCACCAAAATCAGTTACATCGCTGTTTAAAATCTGATCTGATCTCGTAAACCAGCAGGTCAACGACATTTTTTTTCATTATATATTGATATTATCGTTATAAAACTTAATTAAAATTTTTATTGTGTTTAAAATAGAGGTTGGAATCGAAATATTTTTTAAATTCGAATTTTTATAAGCTGAATTTGAATATATTCAAATAAATTTAAAGTTTAAATTTGTAAATTCATATATATTTTGGATGTACTTCTTACATGATTACGCATAATCACGCATAATTGTGCATAATCATGCATAATCGTGCATGATTATACATGAATTCACAAATTCGAATATACTCAAATTTATTTAAACTCATTCGAATTAATTCAAATTCATATTTATATGAATTAGCTCGAATATTTAATGAATTGAATATTTGATTCCAACCTTTAGTTTAAAAAAAAAAAGCCAAGTTTATTTGAATGATTTGAACTTTTATTATTAACTTTACATAATCTTATAATATAAATATTTGCAAGTTTTTTTTTTTTTTTTTTTGATAACTATGTACTAATTTATTAGATATTTGTTATTTATATAATAAACTATCTAACTACCTATTAGACTAGTACCTAGCTGTTTATGAAGTGCCCAAGTATGGTTATCACACTGATGTTGGCCAACTAACTCTATATATAGTGCTACCCATATTTAAAAGCCTGCTATAACCAGGGGCTCAGCTACTTATAAATTAAATTCCATATACTTTAATATTTATTTTGTCCATCATCTCGGAAGAAGTGAATTTGTAATCTGTTGCCATATTGTCTCTTTTGCTATTTTATAAATTTTCTTCACACGCTTCTTAACTCTTGACAGCCAGAACTTTTTTCATTCTTCTTTTTCTTTGCCTAAAAGACTTTTTGTAATCTTGTATCTTTTGTTTGAGAGGTATTCGTTTGTCCTGTCTTCTGTAACTAAACTTGAACTTGATGAGTGTATTTCTCCCAAAGCTTTTATTCTTACATTTCTCTCTGATATGTTCGAGGCCTTCCTGTCTTACTTCCCTAGCTTGACTACTCTACTTATTCTCTTACTTTTTTCCTACACTGCAAACCTTTCATATCTTTTTCTTCATATTACTCTATAAAAGCACTTCTGTATAGTATAGGCCAGTGCTTCAAAGCATTGTTAACTTGAGCTATGCTTTTTATTCATTTCGCATAAACTAAGAAAGTTTGCCTTCCAAACCAAGCCTAGAGTAAATCTTTTTCTAGCATCTTGTCTTGCTTGGTGTGTATTGCTATATACAACTTTTTTAAGATCTGATAGTGTATATTCGAATCTTGTCTCCTCCTCGAGTATAATTCAGGCTATTGCTAACACCTGCTTTTCAATTTCTGCCCAAATCTCTGCTAAACTTTTACATTCAAAGAGATAATTTATATCTTCAATTTTATCTTTTTTGCACAATACACAATTTGCTGAGATATATATATTTAGTTTGCATTGATGAAGTATACTCAGCATGAGGAGTACTTAAAAAAGACCTTTTAATCAAATAACTAGTTTATTACTGCTTATCAGCAACTTGCATATTTGTCCTCTGAGTTCTAATAGCCTTTTCTAGCACAAGGACCACATTGTGTTATTTTTTGCTTCTATTTGTTGTAATGGTTCAAGATTTTTTGACAAGTACTATTCACTTTCTATAAATTTTCTTTTAACTCTGAGTATAAAGCTATGCAGTAGGTGTTTGATACTCTTGTTTGACTAAGCTATATCAAAGTTTCACCATGGCTAGAGTGTACTTGGCTATCTCCATGTTTCATCAAAAAAGGCCCTCTTTTTTGCGATGCTATCTGCCTTTTCATTCTATCTTATATCTGAGTAAGCTTTTACTTTTACTAGTTCTAGCTTGATTCGCTTAAATTGAACCATCTCTATAATTTTGTTAAGTAGTGTTCTGTTCTTTTTTAGACTTTTACTAAACTCTCTTTCTCTGAGTGCACTTTTTATTGCCAAAATTGCTACTGTACTATTTGATTTAATCTTGACTAGTATATCTGTCAGTACTATTAATAGTATATATAATATCACTAATAGTTCTGGTCTTGTAGATAAGAGCCAATCACTTACTCTTACTTTGCCTTCAAACACTACTTCTTTTTCATCTATAGAGACTTGGATTTAACCTGCACCCATTCTCTTTTATTATACTTATTTGGTAACCACGAGCCATTTGTATAGAATATGTATTTACTTCTTTTGTGTTTAAGGTTAGTTCTTGTTCTATCAAGTAATAATGCTACAATATTTGCTAAGAGGTTAAGATTCTTTATATACTTAATGCTTTCTGCCTCTAACTCTTCTGTATTTATCAATTGGCTTTCTGCTAAGTTATTTTTCTTTTTGAGATAACTGTAGGTTTTTGGTGCAATTTTAACAGATATACTATTGTTGATTTTTGATATATGTTCTATTCTTTCTAGTACTTTGTCTTGCTTTAGTTCTAGTATACAATTGTTTTCTTTGCCCTTCTTGTTATATTCATATCCTTGACAGTACTTCACCAGAGTACCACTTTTGGTTAAGCCTAATTCTACCCAATGTTTAACTAATATCTTGATATGTTTCTTTCTTTGTATTTAGCTAAATAAAAATTGATCCTTTTTTTCTTCAAACATGACCCAATCTCTTTTTCTTTTGCCTGGGTGAATATTAAGCAGTCTGGAAACAAGAGCTTCTTTATTTGTTTCTTATAAGTGGAACTGTGGTTTTACCTTCTATTTTTCTGCTTTTTCCAAGACTACTTCTTTGATGGCTATATACTAGTAGAGAATCTTACTATGACTATTAAAACCTCTAATTGTTCTAACTTGTTGCCATATTAACAAGTTCTTGCTACTAGAATCAAGCAACTAATTAATATAGTATATATCTAGTTTTGCCTGTGTACTTCTACTTTTACTCTTTTGTTTAATATCTAGCAAACTTGTACAGTCACACCCCTCTAAATGCATCCCGTCGGGACCATAGTGAAAAAAATTAAAATTTTGCACTTAGAGGGTGTTT